GTTTATTTTTAAAACAAAAATCTCAATATTTTGAGGGCCTAATTCTTGATTTTTTAAACTCTTGGGGTGATAAAATCTTTATTATTTTAAAACTATCCAGACCACTTGTCACTTTCTCTTTTTCCTTATAATTATTTCTCTCTCTGGTTATTTTTGGAGTCTGTGTAGTGTTTTTTTGACTAGGGTTGGTATAAGACACTAAACAGACCAGTTGAATTGTTCTAAGTAAATGCACTAACTCTATAGGTTGCGTGAGTCAAATGAAATGTAACATACAAACTGAAACCAAATGTAGGACACGTCCTTTAGTTACTACTCTGAAAAGCTCATCATTATAGACAACCATTTATGTTGCCTTATGTTTGAAAGCTACTGTCTTAAGCAGGAAACTACGATTGGGTTTTTCAAGTATTTTAAGACACAGAAAAGATCCCTACTGTGCCTGGTAAGCTATATATTCCTTTAATAAATTGGGGGAGGGGGGGCAGGGAATCAACTAAGATACTGTAGCTACAGTGCTAATCTGCTTTCAACTCTGTTTTCAGAAGGACCAAATGTAATGCAATCATGATGTTGTTACACCCATTCTGCCCAGCTAATGCATAGTAAATATCAGTAGCTATTAAAAAAAGAGAAATTATGTGCAAGTTTCTTAAAGCACTGACATATACAGATATGGAAAAGACTAGGGCCTTCTATTACTAATTAGTTGTTTTTATACGCAGGATACGTTGCCCAAACATTGCCACCAGCTGTGCTTTTGATACACAGACAGAAGAGGGGTAAAAAAAAAAGAAAAGAAGAGAGAAAGATGAGCTTTTGTTTGCCAGGGATTGTTTCAACATGACAGTGTCACCATGCCTAAATGCTTTGCACAGATTTGGATCTGTACGTTATTTCAGGCTATAAGCTAGCTAGTCCAGTGGCAGATACCTAAACTTTCTGTAGCCTTATCATGAAGTAATTTCAAAGCTAGCATATATTAGTACTGCATATAATAATGACTCCAACATCAGCCACATGCTTTTTATCATATCTTAGTTTCAAACACTCCCTCAGATAATTCTTTGTTTACAAAAATTATACTGTAAGTGTCTGGCACTGTTTATTACTGAAAATGAAAAAGAAGCCCAATGAAATCAGTGTCTGCTGAAAGTCTCCAGTGTAGCCAAAATGCCCAAATTTTCAGCTAAGATAAGAACAAATTTATATAGAAGAGGATATTTAAAACAATAAATCAATGTCGTCTTTGTTTCACTTCATTGTATAGTACTGATTAAAAATGCACAGGATACTATAAGTATCGGAGGAACTGTTTTAAATTAAGCCCACAACGAGCTCCTGAGTCCTGGCTCTGATTTGTTTTAATTTAGGGGATAATTGGTGCTTTGGAACTTGCTTAGCTCTAATTCAATAAAAATGAATCAAACAATGGCTTGTCATTAGAGCACTGTTGCATTCATTCAAGAGATTATAATTTGGTTCCTGCTTTTAAGTAACATTTCTGACCCTTTTGGGAGAAATATGTGCAAGAGATAGTGCAAGTTGTTATGCTGGGATCTGGCCCTTACTGTTTGGTACTGTTAGGTACTCTAAGGAACTGCAATACTTGTTCGCTGAAAACTCCCCCTGACATCAGTGGATTTGCAGAACTGAGCCTAGGGTGAGGGAAATTCAAGTAATCCAGGAAAGATAAATACACGTCCTTATTCATAGAACTAGTGCACATTGGTTAAAATGAAGCATCTTATGTGAGCTTACTATAAGAACACCTCAGGGAAGTCCATTGTACCCTCATAAAGACATAAATGATAGCCTTCAAGAATTACTATGCAAATGTAATTTTAAAACAATTATATAGCCTTTCTAAACATATAATTCTTTCCACATGTTTATACTGATATTGTATATGGTATAATAATTGATATAGTATATACTGATATAGTATATAGTATAATTATTTGTAAGCAAGTGATCTTAATAGACATAATTCACAAATATTTATATAAATTAAATTGTAAGAGACAGAATTTTATTTAAAGTATTCTTTTGAAATATAGTAAGGAACTAAGATCTGCCTTACTAAAACTGTACAGGATAACTTACTGGGATGAAGATTTTCAAAAGATAGGCAGATTGTTTAAGCATTTTCCCATAATCTTTCTCCACTGAAAGTAATAAAACCAGGACTGGGAAGATTTTTTTCCCCCAACAATAAGCTATTTGCTAAAATATGTAGCTTTAGTGGATCCTAAACTGGTTGCAAATCTGGAGAAAAGTTTTAGCTGAAGAAACAGATATGAAGAAAAAAATTTGGAAATGTCAAAACAATCTGACTTTCCCAAATGTTTCAGTTTTTTTAGGCTAGGTTCACAAAGGAACTTGTGCACCATTCACAAAATCAAAAAGGGGGAGGAAGAGAAGGTGATTATCCTCTTATATTCAGTTGTTCATTGGTAAATGCAGTCACTTGGGATGTGGGGTGCTGGTTTGATTCCCCTCTCTACCTGAATCAGCACTGGGATTTGAACCAGATCTCCCATTTCACAGGACAGTGACTCAAGTACCAGGTTTACTGGTGTGGTTTTCTCTTCTGTTGAAACTGTTCCACTTTATAGAAATAATTACATATTCATTAAAACAATGACCAAAACCAGGGTTTCCTTACCTATCAGACAAGTGTCCTAACAACCAAAGGATTATTCTAATGTAATGAATATATAAGCCTTTGTATAAGTGGAACTGCTTCAACAAGAGAGATTTAAAAAATTCACCCTAGAGTAACTCCACCATCCCCTAGCTAAGGCTGTTTACTGGGAGGCTGGAGGCAGTTTCGAATCCCTGATCTGAAACAGACTGAGAAGAGATTTAAACCTAGGTCTCCCACATCTTCAGTAAATGCTCTAACTACTAGGATATAAAGGGATGGAGGCAGGGGATAACATCTCTTCCTGGTTTCATGCTTCCAAATAATAATAATAATAATAATAATAATACTCCTCATTTGCCTGCAATTCCAACCTATTCCAGTTTTAGGTAGAATCTCAACAATTACACTTGTTGAGCTTTTGGTTCCTCCACCAAACTGAAAAATCTGTTACAGTAGCAACCCAATTATAATGCCAAAGTGCCATGAAATGCACAAAACAAGTGACCACAATTATAATCTTTTCAGTATACCCCTATATTATTTATTTCACATAGAAAAAGTTGTGTGCAAGAGGGAGACATGAGCAAACCATCCATGCAAAAACTTCACAGGATAAATGTAGAATAATTTGCACACTTAAAGTTGCAAGAAGCATGAGATGCAAAAGTCAAGTTTCTCACAGCAACATTAGCTATTTTCCATAGCCTATGTTTTTATGAAATACAGTTTACAACAAAGAATATTGTACTGGGCTACATGCTTATCCAAGGTGGGAATTTAAATTGTTGCATACATGAAGCTTGAGAGAGATAATGTAACTTTTCAACTTTGTTTTTTTTTAACAATTTTAAATGTGCAACTTCAATATTGTGCAGTTTCAACAACAATAACAACAGTAATAATCATCATCATAATCATAGTTGTTATTATTATTATTGCATATGTGCAGGGTTGTGCCTGCATGCACATTGTCGAGTAGGGACCTGAAATGCCTGCACTCAAAATGGGGTGCTTGTTCAGACTCTGAGCAGAGGGATTTCTGCAGTGTTGAGAAGCAAGCTGGGCTCCGCAACAGGAGCAAGCTGAGCTCCCACTCTGGACAAAGGTCTGGTGATTAAGGGAAGAGAATGAGCATGAGAGGGGGTGGAAATATGATGTAGGCAGAGCCCTGGTACTTAAGCACAATTCAGAGAATGAAAAAACAGTCCATAGAATTTTTAATATTGCCACTATCCCAATGTCTGCCAAGAGTGGCTTAAGGGACCATGTTGAAAAGCTATGCTTAGAACCTCTATCAGCAGGAAGCCATGGGTCCAGCTAGACTCAATGAGTATTGACTCTCATGCTTTCTAATCAAAAGATTTAGTATTCTTCTTAAAGATCCAGCATTAAAATAAATAAGTTTCTAGTCTTCACGATTGTGGAGAAAAGCTTAGAGATACAACCAGTTAAGTATGTCCAAGAGATTGAAAAGCCCAGGAGGTAAATCAAAATAATCTGAAAGGATTTTTTAAAAACTCTTTCATGTTTTCTTAATTTCATGTCATGATTTTAGGGAGCTTGATTTATGATTTGTGAATGCTTAGGGCTGGGAGTACCAAATCCTCACTGCCAGCTCCTCAATACCCCATGAACTGGTCTGCAGGACACCGAATTCTTGCTTCCCCATTGCTTGCTCCGTGCACCTTAACTGGATCAGGAGCAAAAAAGCATCAGACCCAGAAGCCTTTCATCTATAAAAGGTAGGTCCCTTTATGGATGAGAACTGAGCACCACCTCAGAGAATGAAAACAGCAAAGCCCTGTGGGCAGAAAACATGCCAGCAACTCAGTACTGCTCCCTCACAATTTCATTATTATTAGTCTCCTAATTACACATGCTGAGATGAGCGCACTTATGAAAACACTCCTGCGTGTGCAGGGCATCTCTAAATGACTGCAAGTGTTCAGATTTAAAGACACAAGTAAAATAAGCTGTTTTCAATCATTCCTGTTTTAACTAATTAAATTTATGCATGCACAGACTTGTCAACACGGACTGTTTACATACCAGATCGAAGTGAATCTACTTTTTCAGTTCTGTGTGAAAAGAAACAGGACAATCTTCTTTCAAAACGGGAAGGCATACCCCTCCCCACTCTTGCAGAACTCAAAAAGAACTGAAAGGAATTTGTTCAAATGTTGCCTGCTGCTAGTAAGTGCCTTGAAAATTTCAACCTGACACTTTTTTTAAAAAGTCCCAGATATGTGAAAATATAGGCATTTTCATTAAAAACTCTTTTTTGAAACACAAGCTTGGATACAGCATTTCCTATTGCAAGAATCAACCATTACAATAAAATCAAAAGTACCAAAGCTGGGTGCACTGTGCAAAGTCATGTCTCGAATCACCCGAGTGCCAAAACAGGACCACATCAAAAGGAACTGCTGAGCTACTTTCTTCAAAGAACCTTGTCTCTTGGCAGCTACCTACAAAAAAATATATATTTATAACATACATAAACTTTTGTTATAATTTTGTACTGTCCAATGTGGTGCATGTCTGCCTATTTGCTTTACTGGAAAACCACATCTCATCATAAATTTAGCTGCATGTTAAAGAAAAGTAGGGTAAAGATTATAATAAATATACTTGAAGCCACCCAATACATGACAGTTCTGTACAGATTAGTCTGCACAAAGAGGAAATCTACAATAGAACAATACTTGATAACTTCTAAATCATAGTATTTGTGCTTGCAAGGGTTACATCTAGATTACAACTAATAAAGGAATTTATTAGACAGCCTAACAACATCCTCTGGTCTTATCTTAATTTGATTCTTGATAATTATCTAGTTCAGGAAGCAAATTACCTAGTTCAGGTAATTATCTAGTTCAGGAAGCCAATTTAGAATAAATACTGGTAAGCCTACACTGCAAAAATAATTCACTTGCATTTTTAAACTACTTGGCTTCTGCTGTACTTATATCACTTTTAGTGCTTACTTTCTGTGAACATTCATATAATCAAGTTTCATCAGCAATAACACTTTTTCAGAAAGCAATGTTTAAGCTTACACTCTCAAATACATGTTTTCTGTATTCATACCTAATTCTGAAAAGTCTGTTCTTTTAAGGAGTTAATGGAAACAGCAACAAGTCCTTTATAATCAGTCATAACTAATAGTAGCAATGGATCAGTGAAAAGAAATTTCCCAAAAAATCAAATATTTTCAAGTAACAGACACATGCAGAAAGGGAAAAAACTGTAGGATTTTTAACATGATATCCTTTATGAATTATCTGATCAACTCTCATAGTGAAATCTGGAAACAAAATGGCATTTTCCAATAGAACAAGTAAATATAAAATATATTATCAACCATGATGTAAGATAATAGGTAGATGGAACTGTATAATTACATAGCATTGAATTACAACGTGCTGATGCCTGCTGGGCTAAGAATGTTCATATGACTTGTGAGTACATTTCAGCATCCAACTAAGTAATATAAGATTTGTCACAAGTCAGTAACTAATGTTTCAAAGTTTCCTTAAAAATCACACAACTTTACCTTTACCCTTTTTTGAATAATGAGCTAGTCACTAATCTTTATTCACTAATCTTTATTCACTAAAATAAATAATGATGACAATAATTAGGGCTGTGCAAGGCTTACGGTCCCTGATCCAATCCAGCGGAGATTTGGCCTGACTTGGTGGCTGAATCTCTGCATCCAAATTGAATCAGGAGACCCTTTAATCTCTCTGAATCGATTTGGAGAGATTCAGAAAGATTTGGCAAGTTGGACATAGACACAGCTTTAAATGGTTTTCCTACAAACCTCAAGGTACCGGGCAGCTCGTCAATGCTGAGATGCTGGGGAGGATGGAGTGTCCCATGGAAGCGTGTGTGTGGGGTCCCCAGTGTGCTTGGCAGCAGACCCGGAAATGGACCAGAAGCACTTCCGGGTCCACTGGGGAGCATGCGCCCCCCTGGCCAATTGCCAAGCTGGAGGGCATAGTGGGAGGGGCCCCCACGTGCTCCCCAGCAGACCCAGAAGTGGACCGGAAGTAGTTCCGGTCCACTTCCAGGTTCGCCGCCAAGCATGCGGGGGGCCCCCCCCAGCTCCTGTGAGATGCTCCATCTGCCCCACCATCGCATGGTGGGCTCCATCTGCCCCCACCATCGTGTTCATGAGCCGTGCCTGGTATGTAGAAAAAACATTTAAAGCTGTGTCTATGACAGAATCGCCAGTTCTCCGAATCAGCATCAAATCTTCAGATTTGGATTCGGCTGAATTGAATTGGGGACAGTGATCCAAATCAATGAATCAAATCACTGTCCCTGATTTGGGCTGAATCCAAATCTGAATCAAATACGGCTCATTTGCACACCCCTAATAATAATCAGTCCAGCTAAAATTCTCAAAGAAATAATGATTTATCACATCCACCTCCTGTGTTGCATCATTTTAAGAGATGAATCTGAATCAAAACATCAGATACCTACACCTTTGTATATGAGGGAAGAAGGTGTGATAGAGCGCTTGACATCTGAACTCTGATCCAGCTCCAAACTTGGCACATGGAATTGAAGAAACCAAAATACTGGCATTGAGCAGCCCTGACCTGAAGTCTGAAATTTGGATCCAGATTTTGCAAACTCAGGACCTTTGTTCCATGCTAAACACCTGTTACTTGATAGCGCACACTCGTAACTCAAATCCTAACCCCCATTTACCAACCTTCACAACACATCTGTCCACCATGGAATCCAACCACTCAATGTATGACTCAATAGGTGACTGCTCCTCCAAAAGGTGATCAAACTCTTGATACACTAGAAAACAAAGGGGGAAAAAAACTCCCAAATCAGAACTTTAACTCCATTTTAAGGCAAGACTGGGGGAAAAGCATCTGAAACCGTCAACAATGTGCTGCCAATTAGCTCAGCTAATCACAATCAGTTATTTAACTATTAAATATGTGTACTCCTTCTGGCTAAAGCCATTCCTGTGCTTGGTCTATGGATCCTGATCCCGTGGAAATTAATGAGGATTCTTAAAAAACTTCAGCTGGAGCAGGATCAGGGACAATCATTTGAAATCATCTTTTGGTTTAAACTTCAGCTGCCTGCCCGGAAATAAAATACGTTTATGGTGTTCTCCGCGCAAAGCACTAAGCTAGGCTTTGACCCTGGTGATGAAAAAGGTCATGCATGAAATTGATTTAGAAATGCATAGAGGATCTTTTAAACACCAAATGGGTAAGTATTGTTGATAGGCCTCTCATTTGTAAATCTCCAGTGCACAACGAGTTAGCTGTAAGATCATGTTTTAACTGCACCCATTATTTCTTTCTATTGCTAAACAAGCAAAAGAACATTATTTCCAATAAAGTTTGTACTTTTAAAAAAAAGAAGTGATCATCACCACACAAATATTATGATTACGAGGGAGTTTCCAAAGACAGCCTGAATGCCTTTGATTCTCTCTCTCTCGCTCTCTCTCTTTTAATACAGAAAGTAAAACCAGGCAAGTCATTCACAAGTGTCAATTAAAATTGCGAGTCTCCAGTTAATTTATGAGAAGAAGCTATTGGAAGACAAGGAGTCATATATCTGAACATCTCAAGGAATTGTTCTGCAACTGAGCTAAAGAAAATGGTCCAGTAAATCAAGAGGAAAGATACTTTATACCTGCTGTGTCACAGGATGATTTAATGTGCTGTGCATTTCCCTTTATACTTAATTATAAACAACAGGAGAGAGGAATTTCCCACCATTAGAACAGATGCTGGGAGCAGACGGAGGAGGCAAACTCTGAGCTGGCAGTTAGAGAAGAATGTCAGAGGGAGACTAAAAAAAAAAAGCAAGATACAAGAAGGTTTTCCCTTCCAGATGCATGGGCAGTTTTATGAGCAGCACACTGGCCTGCATGCTGTAGTTCAGGCAGTGCTCTTGCCAGCTGAAATGGCCAAGCAGCTGGAATGCTTTTAAGAGTTTTCTCATCCTACATACAGTTGTGATGCAGCACAGGAGTTTATTTTATTTTGCTCATTACAAGGGGCTAAGCTGGCACAGCTGGGAAATGCTGAGGAATTAACCCTTTCTTGCTTTCCCCTCACTATTTTGTGAACCAAAGACTCTTCTTGCTCAATACAGATCAACAGGAGGAGGCCGGTCTCCACCTTCTGACCTGAGGCTCTGGCCAGGCATAGAATAAACTGCTTCACAGAACAGGTGAAGTAATTTACATCCTTTGAAGCATGAGGAGAGGGACAAGGGTAGGATCACAATTTATTGTCTGCTTTGCTGCTGGGGAAGGGCACCTATATACCTTCCCTTACCCAGGGCTGGTTATAAAGTTACTTTTGTAGCCTAAAGGGACTGTCACAGGCATTACATTTCTACCAGGAGAATCACCACTCTTTTGGTGGAAACTACAAGGGTACAAATGCTGATTCAGTTTCTCCCAGGGGAAACATGCCCCCTCCAGAAGAAAGATCTTCCAGGTGTTAACCTGGTGTCAACCTGGTGGGGATTTCAAAGCCAGCAGGGTCAGAAATTGGGCTCAGGGGGCTTTCCCAGCCCCACAGGCTTTAAATGCTGTGTGTGCCACGACCTGGCACTGGACCTCTCTACAGGAGGAGAGTAAAATGTCAGGGAAAGACTCCCTGCCTATTCCCCAGACTTGGGTGTCCCCAGTCCTCCATTTCCCATTCTGGGAACAGGAATGGATTAGCCACTGCTACCTATGCCTTCCCCAGACTGGGATCACCCTGGTCTCAGGAGCAGGGGTGAAGGGATGATTGTAGGCTGAACACCTATACTGTTCCCTCTCCTGGAAGCATATCTGATGATGGAAATTTCTACCACTAGAATCTACCACTAGAACCTGTTTCATCTGTGGCCACAGACAGCTCTCCCAGGGACATGAAAGAAGGAGTATAAGAGAGAAATCAGGACATAAGCAATTATATTACTTCCTTTCTTATGTCCTTATGACCAGTTTTTTAGCAGAATTCACAGATTCACTGGAGACTGACATGGTCGCACCATGAGCACTTCTGCTATGGCCTCAAATTCTCAACTTCTAGGCTTCTAGCTACTCACCCCCGTGTCCACATCACCGAAGCAGGGTATCGTACTATTAACAAGGTGAATGAGCCTCTCTGTAATAATAAGTGACTGCAACAGTTTTAGTATAAGTCTGCATAGCTCAAAGATGTTTTTCCAGGTACTATAGTTGGAAATTGTGCCCTATGGATGACAAATGTTGAGATTTCCCAACACCAGTAATCTGTGAAAGGGTGCTGAAAGTCCACATGCAATATTATTATTAAGAAATCTCAATGCCATTATAAAGTGAGGATCAAATATTACCCTCTGAGGGGGGACCTGTTTAAACATGGTATGTATGTACGTGCACTGGAAAGGGATAAAGTAGTTTAGGTAAAATAAGAATCTGAATCTTCACCCAAAATAAATCAAACCTAGATCAGTCTCCTTTATAGTGTGAAAAGTTTGAATCGCTTTTCTCTATCTATACCTTTCAGCCAAGACTTAAAAGAGGATGGGGAAATCAATTGATTAGTAAGCTTTTAGGGGCAGAGAATATCTTTTAGATGCATGTACGTACAATTCCTAGTACTATGGCCTCTAATCCTTACTGGGGCCTTAGACACTACTGTAATGCAAGTGCAAGTGGCAAGACATGGGAAAGTTGTCTTACTACTGTTAGTATAGAAAAAGAAAATGCTCTTAAATAGCAGTAAGATAGTGTGTGAGGATATATACTGGAGATTTAAAAGGGACAAAGCTGATTTTCAAGCCTGCTCTAAGCTTTCTTGTAGAATGGAAAATACATTGCAACAGCAGCACTGCATTTGCTGCACTGGGCCTAACAAAAAATGTAAACTCTTTAGAACTACATCCTGGTAGACTTATTCTTGTTTACCTGTCTTTAAATTGCCTCTACTGAGGGAGAAGCTATGGCAAAGTTAAAGAGAGAAAGTAAATGCCACATGTCTACACACATCTCAAAGTAATCCTGATCCAAGCCTGATCATTTATATTGGATTATTGCTTCTGAAATAGCCTCTCCTCTATGTCCCATCATACGCCTTTCCTTTTTTGTTGCAGAGTGATTACCTACCAACACTTACATGTGCTTAAATCCATCCCTGGTCAGGAAAGTTCTTACGATTATATTTCATTATAATGGGACTTTTAAACACATACCTAAGCTTAGCACATTTTTAAGCATCATTCCTGAATATGGATGTTTTCCTGAATCAAGGCCATGGCTATTAAAACAATTACAAATTAAGGTTTTGGGAACTGGCTAATTCTTAGGGGTTGGGGATGGGTGCTAAGGACATTATAGGAGAAGAGAGCTCTTCTGGCTGCTAGGAAACAGGTTAATCTGGACTCTTAAATTCAGGAAGTTCCACTCTGTCCCTGCCCGAGACTGACTCTCAGTACAGTCTGCCTTCTCTGCTGCCAACTCCTGGCTCTTTCCTCTCAAACCTGGAATCATCAGTGGTGAAGGAGAGTCATGTCAGGAGGTAAATCCAAAGGCTGGGAGGAAATGGCAAGAATCCTAAAACAGTTTTCTGCTGGGAAGTGGAGCCAGCAGGCAGCAGTTTAACTACGGTGGGACAGCCAGGCCAGCAGCCCTGGGTGCTAATTTATGGGGGTGGGAAAATAACAGCTGCTACCACAGCTGCGCAATTGCACCAGTGTCACAGCAGCAGCTGGAAGTTACCACTGCTCCTATGCATACCACTGCCCCGAGCTCCCAGCTACCTTGTTACACATCTCCCAACATGAGATGGTCAGGGAATACATGGTCAACCACCTGCTTTTTGGAGCTTCCTGAATTCAATGAGAAATGTGAGGTGTATGGGAGAGCTTGTGTTACTTTCAGGATACCAAGTGAGAGCAGAGATTAGAAATAGTGCTAATGGCAACTGTACCCATGTTTAGGACCTCAGTGTAGAACACCAAGAGATGTGCAGCAAGTGCTGCTTTAGGATTATAACTGTGCATTGTATGGACAACTCTGCTAAGTATTTTGCAATTGCAGTGGATGGCTTTTCACCCTAGATGCAACTTGCCACTTTAAGAAAGCACATCTCTGAGCTTTCTGAAAGTCATTCTTCAACTCATGCCCTTTGTTATACCAAAAAAAATGATGTCAACCTATATATTCTCTGGGCATATGACAGGTATTGATCAAGAGAAAGTCATTATGAAATTTCAGCCAATAAAAAGTTCACTTGTTCATAAATGTGCTGTGTAAGGCCTATGGTTTTTTTCTTTTATAGGCCTTTACAGGTGACTCAAATATATAATAATATTCTTGTCAAAGCCATCCAAAAGGCATCCCATGATATTATAACAGGAAAAACCACCACATCTATATTCCATCAGATAAAATGATTAATAGCTGGACCCACAGTCTTAAGTCAAAGAAAAGACTTATATTAACCTCAGCAGGTTTTGGACAAGGCCCAGGAGCTACATCAGTCATTTAAAACACTAGAAATAAACTTCAATTTAACATTATCCATGTCCATGTCCATGTGTCAAAATGTAACCTTTCATCTTTGCCTCACCTTTCATTTGGATGAAACATTTCAGTATTTATTTTAGCAGCCGGTGATCAGTAGCCAGCAGATGATATTCTACTCCCTTGTTACAGTATCTCTTAATTATTACATTAATTCACTGTATTCACACATTATAAAACGGAACAACACTATTACTGTTGTGTTTTGTATCCGACAGGAAGGTGTTCACCATACTTCACATGGGGGTTCTATTCTTACATTGTATGATGAGCTTTCTGTGCTCCTCACGCGAGTCCTCCATGGTGTAGAGAGTTTGTTTGGTAATGCTGTTCAGATCCACATTCCTCCAGTCCTCTAGCATTTGGAATGTAATATCTGCACTGTGGATCACCGTTCTTGAAGCCTATAATCCAATCCAATCTACTCATTAGTTCATGGTTTATTAGGTGAAAAAATAGGTTTATCCCCTTTTATGCTTCCTTAACCATCATCTCATTAAGATGGTTCTTGGTCCCTGCTCCTCCTCTCTGCCCCCTTCCACAAACTACAAATCCAGACAGGCATGTCTAATCTAACTGCTCTTTCACTGGACTCTCAAGTCTGCAATATTTTTACTGCTTTTCTTGCTCTACTCCAGTCCAAAATAAATTTAAAAAAGAAAAAAAGTCTCACAATGGCTTGGATCTCCATATCCCTCCCCTATTCAGTGTATGGCAGAGATCCTCTGTGTGCACTTCTTCCCTCAGCTACATGAAAAGGGGTTCATCTGCCTCTATACCATTGCCTGTCCCTCCTTTGGACCATGCCCAGGCCTCTCCATGGATGCAGGGTCTGCATAAAGGTAAGGGACAAGGGGCTAAGGCAGGTGGGTGTGATACGGGGCTGAAGTAACACACATTAGTTCTGTGTAAATGAAGCAGAGAAGACAAACCAGGTTGGGACTGTATTATCTTTCCCAAGGGCTTCCCCCTTAGGAACTACTGCAGCCTGAAGAGTTCCTAGTATCAGGAGCAGTTGGGGGCCAGGCTTGATGCAGAAAACCGGGGCCTTTGTGTGAAGGCCTTGGCTTTCTCTGGATCCCCCTGGATCCACAAAGATTCCTGGTGATCCATGCGGTTTTGGACAGGCTTCACAGCTTAGTCTGCAAATCTGCCCCCACTACAAAAGGAATGGAGGAAGGACTCCACAAGGGGATCCTCAGGACACATTCACGCCTCCTCACTTCCACCCCCAGGAGCACCACTGGGAAGCACACCCTGCCCACTCACTCCTGCTCTGTGCGGGCCTGTGCCTGAAATTAAAGCAAGAAGGTCACCTAGGGCAGCACTGAGTACATGCCAGGAACCCCCCTTGGGCTTTCTGCTGCAGGCACGTGCTCAGCACTGCCCTCAGAATGACAACATTGCCTCATTTCTAGGTATGCAGAGCAGGAGCAAATGTGCTTAAGGGCAGGGCTCCCAGGGACAGCATGGAGGAAGTACAGACTCGCCTTCACTGAATGTTCCTCCCTTGTCCTCTTGCATAGTCCTCTGCTCTAAGGGCATTGATCTGGACATTAGATATACTTTTCAAAAGTAGTGCCATGAATAGAATACGCAAGCTCTGCCTTGTGAGACAAGGCCTGTGCTGCTATAAGTGGGTAAAGCAACACTAGAGCCAAGAGAGCTGCTTTGGTTTATACCAGTATAAAATTTGGCCCTATGCATTCTATATTGTACTCATGGCATCATTTAATCAGGGTTAAAAATACTCACAGATGTTCACTGATTGTAATTCTACACTTGAAATTCCTGAGTACTTTCCTCATTTTTACTTGAGGTTTAATGACACATTAGATCTGAATTTTTCGGTTTTTCATACAAGCATTTTGCTTCCCTCCTTTAGGGCTTGATCCAAAACCCATTGAAACCAATGGAATGTCTCCAATTGATTTCCACAGGCTGGACTGAGTCTAAAACCGTCTTTTAGGATGAGATCTTGATTTTACTGCACAGAAATGTCTAGTAGTGCTGGGTGCTCAAAGAATGCTGGATTGACACCACTATCTAAAGACATATTTTTGACCCTCTTGACAGTTTTCCAGGTCATCTGAAGATTGTAACAAATATTATCAAATTGTGAAAGCCTCATGTTTCAAAGAGCTCCCTGTTTAATATCCAAGCGGCACATTATCAAAAGTCAGCCAAAAGGGTATTAAATAAACTAGAGGGGTAACTCTGAAATATCTCTACCTGGCAGAGATGATTTAATGATGTCTGTCGCCGAAGAATTTGAGAAAATCTTCTGGACACTGCAGGAAAATAGAGTTACACATTTATATAACATTCTAAACAAAGAGACTGGTTTTTCAAAGTACTATGTTAAAAATAGCAACAATTACATGTACTGATTTTCCTATTCTGGTAAAATAAATATTTGTTTCTTATTTATTATTCATATCAATGACTCAGTTGTCAAATATTAACTTCATTTGGGTGCTTCAATCAGTAGTAACAAAACCTCATAACATTTGTATCAGTAAATGATGATTTGACTGCCCCAGGAAGGCATGGAGCATCTTATTAAGGCTTTCATAGTTGAAATTTGGGCTGTATACATGTATTGTTATAAAATCTGTAATCCCAGTCTATCAAATTGAATGCGTACTAGTACCTAGCAATGTTTTTATAGGATTGCACACACAACAGTAAACACTAAATGCCTTGAAGTAAGAATTTTTTTGGAGAGCTGGGCATCAAGTGCAAGCAAACACTAGAGGGTACTTCAGTTTACTTTCATGTTATAGTCACCAAACATCTGCAGATTAAAGCAAGTAGACCACAGAAATATTTGAAGTCATATTTGTTGTTATCTCATATTCCTTCTATATTGCACAAGAGGATGTTAAAATATATACTTTAAATGTTATTAGAAAGTTTGTTGTCCCAATATTTACATATATCAGAACAAATTTCACTGTTGTGCATTCTCAGTATTTTTGAATGGACAAGAATTTTCTCAGGACAAACTTTTTGTAATTTTTGCATAAGTAAGAAAATTACCAACAACATCCAATAGGTTATGCTACTTTATGTTCTAA